CTCCGCAGAGCTGCTCTCCAGCGGGTCCACCCCAAGCCTGTACTGGTGCATGGGGTTGTTCCTCCCCAGGTGCAGGACCCTGCATTTGCCCTTGTTGAACCTCATCAGGTTCCTCTCTGCCCAACTTTCCAGCCTGTCCAGGTCACGCTGAATGGCAGCACAGCCTTCTGGTGTATCTATCACTCCTCCCAGTTTGATGTCATCAGCAAACTTGCTGAAGGTACGCTCTAACTCTTCATCCAGGTCACTGATGAAGAAGTTAAACAAGACTGGGCCCAGCACTGACCCCCGGGGGACACCACTAGTTACCAGCCTCCAACTATACTCAGCGCCGCTGATGGCAGCCCTCTGAGTTCTGCCATTTCTTCTCCATCCATCAAAGGAGGACTGCAACAGGTATGTATTTTTCAACAGCCGTCAACATGAGACATTGAAATTTTACTCTTGCATCTCCAGGAACGCTTTAATTTTTAACCAACTCCCCCCAGCAACGCTCTCCTGCCACCTCTCACACAAAGACCTAAGGAAAGATTTTGAGAGTGCCATGTTTGAAACATCTGGCCTGCATATCAATGTTTTCTGCATCATAACCATCAACAAGCTCACCTCATTCAGAACTCGTTATTTCTCCTCCCAGTGCAAATTCAGATCATTCAGTGGCTCCATCTGCTTTGTGAAAAGTGCCCACACATCTCCACTACACCACTCATTGAATTGCTTTAAATATATATATATTTTAAATTAAAAAAAATAAATACATATATATATTTAAAAGAAAAATCAGTCTTTTTCTGAGATTTTAACACCACATTGAATTCCAAGAAGCTGGCAAAGACTAGAGAAAGTAAGCAAGAGTGGAAAAACAAGCAAGAAATCTTTATTCAGCAAGTTCTTGAAATGTGCATAAACCAATTAAGTATTTAGTTTATTCAGCATAATACGAGAGCACATCAAAAGTGTTCCTGAGTAATAAAAGAGCAGATTAAAAAAGAGCAAACATAGAGATTTTTTCAGTTGCCCCTGGTTCAGTATCACATAACTCTTCTCTTCATCTCCTCACACACCGCAGACCTGCGGCCAGGACACTTGGGGCTTCCGAGAGGTGGAAAACAGCACCAGACAAACCCCTTACTGACAGCAGGATGCTTCCACGCCATAAAATACCGACCTTAAAAACACAGGATAGCTGCTTTGAGAAACAAAGTGGCCAAAACATTATCGAATGGATATGATGGACAGCTCACAGACACGGACAGCTTGATGTTCATCCAGGCAGACAACTCCTAGAAGCCATTGCATGTACGCTTAAAATCAGAAGCTGAAATTGTTAGAAATTCTCCCACAAACACTGTGTGGGTTGTCTCAAATACAAAGACCAGCAAGAGAGCTGCAATCAATATATTTCTTCTTAAATTACCTCTGCCATTAAGCTTTCACTACAATTTCCACTACTATTATGCCTCATTTGTTTGAAAGGACAGGGTGGCTGTCACATCTCTTAATCAGAAACCAACACTTCTGACCAAGAGTGGATGCCTTTAGCTTTATGTCTATAAACAGTTTCATTTTTTTTATATATATAATGTCTTGGTTTCGGCTGGGATAGAGTTAATTTTCTTTGCAGTAGCTGCTGTGTTTTGGATTTAGTAGGAGAGAATGTTGATAACACTGATGTTTTCAGCTGTCACTAAGAAATCAAGGACTTTCTCCAGTCTCCCATATGTATACAAAAATGAATAAAATACTTTGACACAATTCTCAATGAGCGTAACTCTCAACTAACATTCACACTGGAGCAGCAACACGTCAGTGACTACAGCAGGGCAAACAATTACTCTGCAAGATTTTTTGAGGCTTCTAAGACTAATTAAGAACTCTAGATTTTTTTTTTTTTTTTAAGAAATTCCCTTCCTCACAAAAAAGACCCTTCAAAGTACCGTAACTTATGCAGCATATGGCATTTACATTTTCATCTAAATCTTTAAAGAAGTCCATTATTTCCTTAGATTTGAGAAAAGAACCCTGCTTTATTTCACGCCACCAGCCATAAATTATTCATTAATTCTGTTTGCTAACTCTGTAACTGAGCCCAGATGTTTCTGCTGGAGAGGCATTCCACAAGAAAAGTTAAATATAGCAAGCTGTGTGGAAGCAGCAGACCTCTCCCTCTCTCTCTCCCCACCACAGCATGCTCAAATATTACTTGAGAGAAAATAATGAAAACACTTGAAAAATATTCTGAGTATGCAAGTCTGTAAAATGCCACAGTCTGATCACAAAATTTCATGTAAAACAGCCCCCACACATCCCACCTGGGTGTAACTGAAGTTACCTGTCCTGTCTCTCCGGCACTTTCACTCGCCAGAGCAAATGGCAAGTTTACAAGCAGAGGAGCACTCCTTGCCATGCATCATTTACAAATATAAATCAAGACTTAAGTTTTCAATTGCAAGCAACACTTCGGAGCCAGCTACCGGCAACACGGCATGTTAATGAAGAACTGAGAGCATCCTATGGAATTTCTTATGGAATGGACACGGAAACTTCCTGGTGGGAATCTTAAATCCACTTCAGAAGAATTTCAACCATTTTACACTAGCAAAGATGATTAACGCTGACATTTCTAACCCAACACTAAGAACACAGTCCTGTTGAACAGAACGGAAGCTACCACCTTCAAGCACCCGTTCCAACACTGTTATGGTTTCTAGTACTCTTCAGCAATTGTCTTCAGCTGGTTTGGAATTGCCTCTTTTACATTAGAAACTATTCCTAATCATTACGTAGTTGGGCATAAAGTGAAAGATGCAGGGCTGAACAGCACAGAGCCACGTTCTCTGGAGTTTGGAGACTATTCTCAACCATGCAACACTTCTTCAGTTGTGAACAACGATCACAAGAGAGATTCTGAGAGGTCATCTCGTCCCTCTGCTCTGTTCCAAGGCAAGACCAATCCTGTTTAAATCACTGTTTGCCTAATCTGTTCTTAGAGATTTCCAGCGTAACAGATTCTGTAAGGTGACTCTTTGGGGAAGCTGTTACAGACTGGTGTGGTTATGATGTGGCTGCCTGGGGACTAGGGATCGGCTGCTGCCATCCACCTTTACTATACCTGTAGAGTAGCAGCTGAGCACCTCATAGCAAAATCCTGTTGTTCTTTAACTACCTGTGTCCATAGGAGACTTTGCAAAATATGTTAAATCTAACTGTAATGTTAACAGAGGCATCTTCCCACTAACTAGGCAAACAAACCTCGCATATAGACTGTTAGCCACCTTAGAACACAATAAAACTCTACAGATTGTTCCTAAAAACATGACTATAGAGAAGACTTAAGTCATAATTTTAGCATGGGAAGGCATACTAGCACCAGCTTTAGTCTCCTCAACGTCAATAAAGTTAAGTATAATAGAGTGGTAGCATAGGTCAACAATCTTAGCACAATAAATATCTGTTTTTCTTCCTAGTCCACGCTGCCAGACATTTTCTTTATTTCTGGTAGCTACTCAAAGTTAGCACAAACAACAGCTACCACAGCATGCCTACCACGGGCAAGACCTCTTAGTTTCGCTGTGTAGACAGGTATTAAGGACATCTCACTCCTACCTCAGAGATCTGCTAGCTGGAAAGCAGCCAATGAAAAGAAAACCAGAACAAATTGTGTTTAAGTGAGTCACCCCAGCAGCAACTTACAACTGAGTCCACCTATACGAGCAAATGTTTCCTCTACAACTCCTAAAGAAGAAGAGAGTTATGCAACGTGAAACCTAGAAACTGGACCCATCTACAGCATGTGTGGGAGATGGGAGATGACAAAGGATCTTCAGGCTCTCAGAAAATCAAGACCACGTGTTGGAACAGTGGAAAGTCTTCTGTGAAATCTTTGGCCGGGAGGGGCGAGATGAGGGAGAAGAGCACAGGTGTGAAGCACCAAAAGGAGTCAAAACAGAAGAACAGAAACTATATTCAATAGCTCATCTTGAAAAACCTTTTTCTGATATATGAGGCAAACCTTAGAGCAAAATAGAAAGAACTTTTAATCTCCTTTGCATTGCATGAATTTCTAGAGCACTGTAGAGCATTTTTTTTTTTTTTTTTGTGGATTGAAACCAGCACCTGGTGTATTTCCCGATTTAAGCAAAGTAACAGAAGCTGCAGGAAAGTTTCAGTTCAGACAACTAAATTTAGAAAGTGAAACACCAAATCAGACCCACTTTACAAGGAAAGTCTTAGCTACAAATTACACATAGCCAAGTACAATTGTTCAACGTTGCTGCTTTTAAGTTGTCCCCATTGAAGGAAAAACCAGGCCCTCGTGAAGCTGTCTACATACCTAAATATGTGCCTAATTATCCTTCTCCAGAGGTATTGTGGTTGAAAACAGAGGGAACCTTATGTTAACAGGTACTTTAACAGGAATTCAGCATGCAGCTTACTTTACAATTATAAAGAGGCTTATGGGAAAAGGAAGCCACGCTTAAGACCTACCTGTTTGGATGACCTGTTACTTCGGCAGAAAAAGAAATGTCACAAGCAAGAATTCTTGGTATTTAATCTGTACTGATTTCTATTACAGCAATCTACAGCAATTTAAACAACCTAAATCTAAAAAGGTCCCAAGACTTCCAAAAGTGGGAGATTCTTATCTGGCTTGCTCACTTAATGCACTCATACAGATGATTCTGTTCCAGCAGAATTAGGACCAGATGGCTTTTTGCTGTAAGGTTGATTTAAAAAAAAAAAAAAAAAAAAAAACTGGACTCCGTTCACTAAGAGATAACAAACATATTCAACATCTTAAAAAGGCAAGAAAAAAAAAAAAGAATGTTTACTTTGGTTGTGCTAAGCAGCCAGGTGCTATAATGCTGCAAGTTCCATCCGCAGTCTGTAGCGCCGTTAGTTCCGCCATGTTAACCATCACGTCGGTCTTGTGGCCGGGCAGCTGGGGAAGCACAGAAAGTATCTTCTCTGCCAGACTGTCACCATGATGACCAACTGCTCCTGGGAGGAAAGACCCAAAAATTGTCAGGTACTTAACTAGGAGGAGGAGGAAGAAAAAAAAAAACACCAAACCAAACCACACACTAGAAACTGAGAACAAAATAACCACCACACGTTTTGAGGAGAAGGGCACCGGTAGTCATAATAGCAAGACCACATTTAGCTTTCCAAAGCTATTTTGCTACGGAAGTAAAATTAATTTCTGGAATGTCTGAAGTTAAAAGCATTGATAACATTTCAGAAAGATTCATTCAAAAGGCATAAATTACACTTCGTTCTACAGCTGCTAGATAGTCACTGATTGTGCACTTAAATATGCAAAATATTTCTCTTTGCATAAGGAGGTTGTTAAACAAGATTTGCAATGGTTATTAAAAAAAGCAGGTAAACATTTATATATATGCAAACTGTGCTTTTTTACCTAATCTAACAGGATCATGCTTAGAAGGGCTGTATGCGAGCTGCGTACTTAGCCACCCAGATAGACTGGCATACTATCAAAATAAGCAACTGCCAACACCACACTACCACCAAGGTCATCGCTCCTCCGTGGCCTGAGGGCAGCACAGGCGAAACCAACACGAAATGACTACAACAACCCAAGATACATAGTATAAAATGTTGATTTGACCACGTTCCAAGAGAAACTCTGAATTACAGCTGGCAGGTTTTTCTCAGTCCTCCTGATTTCAAGCTCTTCTCTCCATTCACCAACTCTCAACACAGGTGCTACAACCAAGTTACAAAACATTCAGGCTGCAAGCCAAGCTGAAGCAGAAAAACACAGCACGTGCTACAGATAAAAACTCTGAGAGGGGGACTGGAAACCTTATTGCCTTGAAGTCAGGAACAAGTTGAAGGTGTTTGTACGCTGCCACTTTAGCTATGGTTCAGCTGTCACCACCGGGCTGGACACGAGTGCTGAGTGCTGTATTGTTCCTCTGGCTTTACTCACAGGAGAAGACTTTGGAAGGCACCTTTGGGGGCAGGAAAAAGACCTTTCAGGCTATGGTCCCCCTCCTTTGAAGCGTGTCCATGTGGCACCCTTTTCACCATTTCCAAAGACAGAGGGGGTCTGTTTCAACAGCTGAAGTAGCTTCACATGCTCCATAAATCCACTCGAGACCCTTACATCACGACCATCAGTGGAGCCAGATTATTAATGGCTCCTGGATAAGCAGAAGATTGTCTCCAGCGAGTCCACAGCAGCCAGGTATCCATGCTGCAAAACCACCTCGTGGTTTATTAACTATTCTGAATTGTGGCAGTTGAAAAGAGAAGCAAGGACTAAAAGGGGGGAGGAAAGTAAAGTCAAACTTCATGCTGGCAATGCCTCTATCCACAGCAGGCAAGGACGGCACACGTGTCCAGCACATGGGGTACTGCAGTGTGGACACCTGGACGCTCAGCGGGATTGAGACTACCAATTTGTTTCACCAGAGACTGTAACGGTCACAGAGTGACAGCAACTTTCCTTGCTACCACCCCCAGCCAGATTTAGACCACTGAAGTACAGATGTAATGAGCTGGGTTGCCTCTGAGACTCCCTAAGCCATCTGCTCTCCAAAATCCCTACATTCTTCTTACTAGGTCAGTCACTTGTCAGCCACACTGCAGTTATCAGCGCTCGCAAAGTTACAGACGTGGAAAACAGATGGGAATCTTCTGAACCTCCGCCCCCTCGGCCTGGAAGCCATGCCTGTCTCTCCACACGAGCAGCATTTAGCTAGACAAGACATTTAGCTAAACTGGAAACACCTCGAATGCAAATAAACCCATGTTATTTATTAAGAGCCCTCCTTTCTCCTCGGCAGAGGGGGAAAGCCTCAGTGTATTTAAGTTGCTTCAACAATTCACAAGTGCCATCTCAGCCTCCTTCCCACCACTGCTAGTTCTTGGAGGCTCCCACTGGTCCACAGGCATTAAAGGCTTTTGCATTGCCTCATCGAATCAACCAGAAAACATCTCCTGGAGCTTTTAAAAATGTTTATCACCCTTGACCAACTACACACACCAACTAAGGAAAGATAATTAAACCTCATGAGACTTGGACAGGACATCATGGGGAGCTGCTTTTCAACCACACTGACTTCAGCAGGGCACATGGGACTGGTTTCCGTCCTCTCTCCTCGTCACTGTTGAGCAGCTGCTCACAACCAACGGTGTTCAAGGCAGCTGGCAGCTTTAACACTGCCAGCCTGCACACAGATCGGGTGTCAAAGTGAGAAGGAAAAGTTACCTGACCAGTGCAAAATAGGAGTCTTCATGCCAGGTTAATGCTTAGCCTTGAGGATACAGGTAATCTTCTGTATCATGCTGTTCTAATTCTTTTTTGTCTTCTGATTAAGAGTTACAAACTGAAACCTGTGACATCTGATCCAGGTTGTAGCTGGCACAATTGGTAAAGTCAACCAACTGATTCTTTAACAGCAGCCAGGAACTCATTAACTGCATCCCCCCCTTCCCCAAAAAGGCATCAATGACAGGCATACAAGAAAATATTTTCCTAAGCTCATTACCAACCCTGTATCACACCATTTGTACTCCAGTTCTTATGTTCTATGGTTCTACTGCCTGGTTCAAAAACAAAACAAACAACAAAAAAGCAGATTTAAGGGGCAATGGAACATCTCAGAATCAACGTGCGGGCTTGGGTAATGGCATGACTTTAAAGCCAGTTGCTAAACGTGAGGAGCTTGAACTGGAAAGCAGTTTCCTACAAAGGCATTGCTCACTAGCCGACAACTAATGCAGCTGGCTTCTGCTGGGGGCTTTTCCTTCAATCAAAGTGTAACTCTAAGTCAGCGTGCACCAAAACAGTATGCAAGGCATACCTCACCCCCACTACCAAGCTTTCTTAAAATCTGCTCTTTTAATTACTTTGCAGATTAGTTCAGGACTGGTGATTTTGGAAAGACACAGGACAAACCCACCCCAGCTTTCACCATGTTTCAACACTGCACACTCACCCAGTGCTTTTCTGAAGAAGATCACCTCGAGGAACACTTTACACTATAGGACTCTAGTGGGACAATTCCTAGGATGCAACTTTCCTAGGCGATGCGTCACCTCAGTGAGAGCAGGGTTTAAAATATGAGAAGGCAGAAAATTTTAACACCTAGTCCCTTGAAAGGCGGGTATTTGGAACTTCAGTTCCAAAGCTTATCAGTGTTTTGCCATATTCTTTCACCCAGCGTTAGCTTAAGCTGACTTTGTCAAACAGTGCTGGAAAGCAGCCTGTATATTCCCAGGAATTCAGGCTTTCAAGGCAAACTAGAGCATCCTTCTGCCTTGCCAGAATATAGATCTGCATTCTCCTTTGCACAGACAAAGGAACACCAGAGTAGTCAGTCACCTGTCCCACTAGGCTGGCTATTGAATCTAAAAACACCCAAACAAACAAAACCAACGAACTAAACACAAAAAACCCAAATAGCAGGAGCAGGGTAGCCCACAGCCAAGCACAGCAGCATCGGAGTGCTGCCACAGAAACGCAACAGATTCGCCATCTCTCACAGCCAGCTACTGCAACGTATGTAGAGAGCAGTAAATTTGAAGACACAAAACACTTCAGTTTCTGCTCAAGGCTCATATAATTTCCAAGTCCCCTGCACTGACCTAGCCACCTGCAGTTTTCTTTAAATAGGCAGAACTCATCCCATTTATTTGCTTATCTCTGTAAAACCTCTATAACAAACTTAACATCTGAAGCATTTAAAAATCTGTTATAAAAAATTGTGTGCCTACTCCACGATAGCAGAATCTTTACAAACCATGCCACAGCAGAGGCTGCACCCTGACCTGCAGGACTGAGTTGACATCACTTGAGTATTTTCAGCTGCCACTGCTCCTCACAGCTGCAGTCTGTGACCTCAGGTAACCAGAATAATTTAAGCATCAGTTGCCTCCTGTGTCAAAGCTCCAGCCTGTTCATAAAAAGGGGACTAATGTACTCTACAGGCCTCAGTATTTATAAGCTCAGACCTTGAAAACATATGGTAAGGAAGAAAAAAAAACACATGGTTTTGTTTCCTTTAAAAGACTTTAGTGTCAATCCACCAATGCATCAGCTTGGAAGATGCTGCAACCAAAGAGTGTGAGTAAAGCACTCCAAGCTAGAAACATAACAGATACAATGAAAGAAATACATAATTACAAACAAACAGTTTAAAAGAAAAATAATGAAAAAGAGATATTAGTCAGAACCAGACTTTATCAGAAAGGCACTGGCCTATGTTAGTCTCCACTCTTATCCTCCCCTATGCATGGGTTTATGCGGTAGGACAATCGAGGCACGACGCAGGTTTCTCCTCGCTGCGGCTGCTCCCAGGCACTGAAGGGGAAGGGCACCTACACTTCGTCGATGAGCGTCTGAACTGAGCTTTTTGTATCTGTCAAAAGGCTGAATACACTACGGCCAGCACAAGGGTGTGATGCAGAGGTGATGCCTGGCTGACAGTGAGGGAGGTGATACAGAAAGCTAAACCCGAGCTCGCAGCCTTGGCCACGGGGAAACATTCCTGTGATTCTGACCAATACCTGCAGAAGTGCTAGAGGAAGATAAAAATGCTGTTGCTGACGGCACTGAAACACCCAACTTCAACAACCCTCATACAGAGGTTATTATATTCAAAGCTGCACATTAACTACACAAGCATCCCCCTGCTATTCATGCTTCTCTGTCTTTTGCTCAATGTATTGCATTTCAAAATCACCTGCAGGTAGCAGGGGGTGAGACCTCACTATTCCCTGCACCCACACCAGCCCACACCCCAAATGCTGCAAAGCACCAAGCGACTGGAAAGAGAAACGTGGCAAGCCGCTCCCAACACCAACATCGGAAAGGTACCCAGGAGCTTATGAATGAAAAAGGAAATCTGGGAAGCCAGAAAAACTGCTTCCTAAGAGGTGTGAATACTGGCAAGGTAGTGACAAAGAAACAAAAGGAAGGAGCATCGGGTTCCAACATGGTATCACAAAGCAAATATTTAGGGGCGTAAGTATTGGAGGAGAAAAATAAAGAGCAATTAAGTTGCCAGAGTTAACTCTGACTTTAACCAGTGTCACTTATCTGGGAGGATCTATTCTGCTTTTTAAAGCAAACACAGTAAACTTGAAAACAGTAAGCAGGCAAACAAAAGCAGCACTACAAATACACACAGATTAGGGACAGCACCGGTAACAAAGGTTTATATGATCAGAATCCAAGAAGCGAGCACAACGTACTAAGCCTAGGATCTCCCCAGGGCATTAAAACACACGTCCCACCTTCCGGGGCACTGCTTTACCCACCAGATCCCACACAGCAGGGACAGGCAGTACCCTTGCCATCCCCAGCTGAAGCCACACCACTGCAGCGAGGGCACCAAAGGCCATAAAAAGCAGATCGCTGTTGCAGCTCAGATGAATGTTATGCCAAACAGGACAAAAACGAGAATTATTTATGTTAATTCAGTATCTTCCCCTCTATTCGTTGAGTACAGCATGCCTAAGTAATGCTGAAGACAAAAAAAAAAATGGATTATAAAAAGCATTCAATAAAGCTCAACTCAAATTTTAGAGTAATAGCTCAGAAGAGATTCTTTGCTTCATGGAAACTTGAAAGCCAACCTAGTCAGTTAGATGCCTTTGGATTTTTTTGATAGAAAAGTGTGTCATTTTATACGTGACTAATTTTTTTTTTTTTAATAATTGTCACAACAAAAATAATACAGTTTATTGACACTGGAACCAGAGGTTCTTTACCAAAATGTACCTAATACTTCTTTAGTAGGTTCTTTAAAGTGGAAAGTTCTTCATATTTATTTAAGTACCAGTATTTTCCCTTAGTTCACTTGTTTGCAATTGCAGCACCAGAAAAGCCACTTTTGAGATGGTTTGATTTTTAGTATTAGAAATCAGTTGGTATTGCTGAAAACTGTTTCTTATTCTAGCCTAGCATCTTACTTGCTCTAGAAAAGAATGGAATGCAAGCCAGAAATGAGACATCTCTTAGTGCAACCCCTTTAGGTGTCATCTAGAGCTACCTAAAGCTGCATTCCACCCAGGTCTTCGAGCTGGAAATCATGTGCCTCCTGACAGCTTATTCAGAGTGATTCAAAGCCACCTGGTTCGAAGCAGTAGCCTGACTTAATCAGAGAGTAGCCCAGCACCTACCCCTAACCTACTTCCAAGTTTTTGTGGAACACTTTCATATTCCAAGCACTTCTCGTAATTCATGGAAACACAACCATTTGTCATATCTGCAGCCCACATGTTGTCCAAGATTCAGTTATGAAGAAGACATTTATGAACCAAATGCAAAATCTTTCATCTTTAGAGAGGGGAGCTTTAAAAAGTTCTTTGAAATGAGCTGCAAATGAGAAAGTCTACCTCAACGAATTCTACCTGCACCGAACTGTTACTTGAAAAAAAAATTCTTTATTTTTACACTGCTGACTGCAAATACACATCATCGCTCAAAAAAACATAAAAAATCCAGTGGCCCAGCTGCCAACACCAAGCTGCAAACTTGCAGATAGGAAGCTTCAGCTTTTACAAGGTGCAAGGCTGAAATTCAACAGACTCACCCACCTGAAGGCCAAACAGTGAAGTCAGAAGTAGGGGGCCAGGGCAGAAAGTACCTAAAAGGCTGAATGCACCTAAGAAAATTAAGGTTTTAGGTACAGCTTAATTCTGCCATTTCCCACTTCTTGCCGACTGATTTCACAACTTAAATGCTGTGCTTTTCGTGTGGTTTTTACTGTACAATTTCTAGCAAACCAACGAAGTAAATCTCACTGTCTGCCACTAAATTCAGGTCCATACAGTGCTTTACCTCTGAAATGGACTACATTTTTCTTACTTCAGTTTGCACTGTAGTTCATGGCAAGGGTATGGTACCATGTCCAACGAATTCTGGAGACATTTGGTGGTACCAAAAGAAGGGCTGCATGAAGGGATCTTGGTTTCAGTTACAGATACTGAAGAGAATATATTCCTAAAAAAATGAATACTTTAATTTCTCATCCTTATCCCAGGAGCTTTGATGCATCCCCTCCAAAGCTGCCCCACCACAGCCCTGATGCTTTGTCCAAAAAATCTTCACCTACTGAAGTATAAGATCCCAGATTTCACTTCCCAGACTGAAGCTGGTACCAACTATCTCTCTTCATGCCTCCCCAGCAGTCTCCTTGCCAGGCAGCTCCCCGTCACCCACAACACCCACTTCCTTTTCTTGTTTTCAATTCTACCCACCCGCCGAGATCACGAATCCTTGTCCCGTTTCACTGGTTCCCACCCCAAACAGGCACTCCTCTCACAGTTTCATCTCAAGGCTCTTCATCCAAGCCCACTCTCCTGCAGCCTTCCCAGCAATCTTCCCAGCCACAGCACTGCATTATCTGCCCAGATCCGCAGCTGCTCTTCAGCACAATGTTGACAGCTATGAAGCCTACAGCAGTGCACGGATGCACAAAGCCAGAATTAAGGAGAAAAAAAAGAAGAAAATGCAGAAACAGATGACCTGCAGGCACAACATTGTGTCAAGCACTTCCCATGGGTCACGTGGTAAAATTACAACCAGAATTACTGACTATATGCAATGCAAATGGAACCAGGCCCACACACTGTATGTGTGACCAGGTCTATCAAAAACACGATGCAGTAAGTGAACGCAACCACTCCTGTATCAATTATTCTCCAAGTTTACCATTTCCTCTGAAAGATGGTTATTCTACAAGTGAGAGCCTGATACAAACTTTTTCCGGGTCACTGGCCCAGCACCTCGCTGGCGACTGGTTCAATCACTCTTT